GGGGAAGGAAGGGTGACAGCCAAGGTAAAGGGCGTGGTCGACGGGAAAATAGCACAGACTTTTGAGGTTAAGTGAATTCCCCGCAGAAAATTCTTGCGCTCCTTCCCACATGAATACGTCAGCCGTGATCAGTGGAAACATACAACGTTTCACGCACGAAAATTCAGCTTCTGAAGAAATACAAACTCAGGAAAACCAAACTCAATGGACGATCGATATGGGTTGCGCAGAGACGCATCGAAGGAATTGCGCCTTGGGGCGGCCACATACTGAGCGATTTTTTATGCATTATTATTTTCACGGCGAGGGATTCTTTTAAGCAGAAATCAGACTCTGGCGGGTTCATCCGTCAGAAGTCGGCATCTTCTCAAAGACTAGCGTTACGTGATCTGATACCCAAGAGTGGAAGGCAGCCGGCGCCGATCTCAGTTTGCAAGCTCCCAGTTTTTAGAATCGTGAACCATTTGTGAGGAGACACTAAAGAAATTCAGACTCGGTGCATCTCCTCGTTTGATGAACCTCTGATAGTTACCGTTTCTGGGTGAGAGTTAACGAGAACAGGGAAGACTCATAAAGTTTTGCACTGCTGCATCTGTTCTGGGTGTACACCTCATTTCGCAAATGCTGTCCATACTGCGGACCACGCCCGGCTATCCATTGCTTTTTTAGTCGGCAGAGCAACACAGACGGGGCAGCTATATTCAGTGATCTTCTGGGCAATCTGATTGAGGACATGGAGTAATTAAGGATATAACACTTTCCTCCTAATCTAACCTGATTTTGGATATCTGTCTTCCAGACCTTTTTCTATGCGACCAGGATGGCTCTTGTGATGGCTTTAAGAATGCTGATATCAGAGATAAGATCGGAAGTTGTTGATGTTATCGGAATTACCGTTCTTGAATAAAAGATCCACACGTGCGCTTGTCAAATCTCTCGCTATCGGATTACTGGGTTGATGCTATTTAGCAGTTTGATGAGCATGAGGGATTGTCAACTTTGCAAGAGCCGATTGCTCTGATGAAACGCGATTGGTCAAAAAAGTTCTTTCGAAAAGGGGTTGAGAAAAAGCAAGTTCTAGTCCATTACTGTAGGAGAAATGCATAATTCGAGGGGAGGAGCTACGGGCAAAAGGAAGATGGCTTGATGACGATTTGTAAGGTTCACTGTAGTACGATGCCACTGCAGCTCTTTTTCTGGTTGCGAATACGCTCCAATGGTTGGGTCCTCTAAAATTAGCCTTTTTTTCTGTTTCTTGTTTTCTGTCCTCTTCGTTGTTCCTTGATTTAGCTTCTGCACTTCAGTTGCTTTTTGCACAATAATTTTCTTTGACGGATATCCTCTAGTAGAGCCATCCTGGTCACTTTGTAATTCTATCAGCTTAGAAAGAGGAAGCTGGTTTTTTCATTTGTTCTGGAATGGTCAACGTTGGTGGCCTAGTAACTGTCTGCGGCCATCTTCACGGATGATCGGATGTTATTGTTGGCTGCTTGTGCATTTGGAAGGTGAGAGTGAGTGGAAATGTGATTGGATCTTGTGCAGCTCAAGGTCGAGGCAGAGGCAATATGAGGGAGGGTGACTGATGAATTGAATCACGGTCATTTGCATGGAAACCAATTGATGACCAGCATTAAATTGGAAGCTGTTAACGTTCCACATTCGAGAACGGCTGTAGATAGAGGGCATAAGAGCCTCGGAAACTTTACATATCAGTATTTCTTTCTTGGATTATAGGTGCCTTACATAACACCTACTCCCAAATTTTAAACTAAAGAATAACTATGTCACGACTTAGGATGGGGGATCATTCATTCGAGAGAGCGATTCAGCACCCATACTGCGAAATCTTGGGCGCTACTGATCGGGTGTCCTTCTAGCCAAAACTTTGCTCGAATATGGCAACACTTAGTCTCTCATGCACACTCAGCTATGGTTTCAGCTCTTCCAAGACTGAGGTAAAGGACCTGGCGACGAAGATCGTGGATTTTGACCTCTAGCTCTAGATGACGGAGAAATAAAGAAAGCCAACGAATTGAGTCCTCGACAAACCGCACAAAACTTGCATGGAGATTCAGTTGTGTCAACAGAAAAATTTGAAAGTTCCTACGTGCGACTGTTAAGGCCTTTCAGGATAGAAAATGGGTTCGGCCTATTCTGAGCGACGCGAGCAAGCAGTACTGGTTGCCAATACTGGAACTTCGCTCCATAACTTCAAGAGGAAAAAGGTTCTTGACTTCGTGTTGACCGCATTTTACAAAGAGATGTTTCCCATAACAACGCGAGAAGATGACCGTGGTTGGCGGCTGATGGGCAGCTGAGGGCCTCTCTGAAACCGGACATCCACTGAGAAAAAGTCGTGCTACGGTGTGGTGGAACAGTATAAGACTGGCCTACTATGGAGAGCTGATTGTGGGTCAGACAGTTACAGCTGAAGCCTGCGCACAACAGCCCGCCCGCGTGGACCGAGCTCTGCGTCGTCAAGGGGTGAATTCGGCCAATGTAAAACTATTGCACCATAACGGAAGACCACATGTCGTGAAAATCACGCAACAAGAAATCGAGGAGTTGGGCTGGGACGTTCTACCTCCAGCGCCATATAGCCCAGGTCTGGCGCCGTCCGACTATCACTGACCCAGGTCAGCGCAACACTCCTTAGCAGCAAACCAATTCGATAACCGCGACGACGTCAAAATTTGAGTGCCCAACTTCTTCGAGTCGAACCAGAAAGAGTTCTACGCGGTAGGCATCCATGCTTAAGGAAAGGTGAAGGAGATGATTCAGGTTGATGTGCTTCATTGTTGTTTTTATAATGAAAATAAATGATGATCGAAAACGACATTTCAATCTAGCCAGCCTAATACTACGAAGGAACAAACCTTGCCAGCCGCTCTTGGCGTCGCTTGAAATCGTTTTATCGAATTCGACGTCGTGGTATTGTTGCAAGTGGTAAATTCCATACGCGTTTGCTGAACAAATCTATATGAGTAAGCAGTGATATCAAGAGCAGAAAATATTTGGTTGAAAAGAAATTTTTGAAGCACGTAGTTCGTGCTGTTTCTAGATTTCTCCCGAATGCTCTGGAATCTTCCATGGGTGGTATATAGTAGGAGCGGACTGTGCTGCGTACGGTGATCAAATCAGCTTTCCCAATAATGGCGTTTGCATGCACTAAATCAACTTTTCCCGCCAGACACTCCGAGCGCTCATCCTGTGCGAGCTTCGCCTGGAGACATCTGCCCACGAGAGGTGCTCAGAATCAGTCCAGTGATAGAATGGGGCATATTCTCTCAAGTGGCGCTTTCATTATGGCTTGAACGCTAGGCAGCGGAGACTTTGTTCTCTCTGACTCAACGCACTACTACTGTCCATCTAGACGTTGTCCGCACTGTAGTGGAGGATGAAGGCGTGCACAAGTACACTGCGACGCATAATCTTAGTTCCACCTACAAATTTCCCAAAAACTAGAATTTGGAGATGTTTTTGAAAAGGGCTCTACAGACAAATTGTGACACATGCAAATGCGAATCTGAATATTATCACGGAAATCCAGTTTGAGAAAGCAAAAAATTTTATCCTCATTTTTTCGAAAATACCCGACTTGCCTATGACGCAAAATCATAGTTCCACCACATGTTTCTCTGCTGCATTTTGCTTTTACCCAATCAAATTTTGAAATTATTACCCACTCAAGTCCCTTAGCTTATAGCAAAGGCAAAACCGCTGTCGAACTTCCGTAAAAGGAAAACCCTAGCAAAAGAGACGCAGCAGTTGTTGAAGTGTCAGCTCACGCTAGAATTTGTCGGGGTGGCTTCATAACGAACAAGTTTCTCAAGGATGCTACAGGATATGATTCTGGGAAGAACCCTGATTACTATCCGACCGAGATAAGCGCCGTATCGTGAGAAAATAATACGACTTTATCCAGACGGGTACGGAAATCAAAACTTCTTCAAAAGTTAGTGTCTCAATGGAAGCAGTTTCACGTGTTTTACAACACGCTCGTGACAGTCCATGTCTGGAGGATAAGAAATACGCTTTCAGTGAGAAAGAAATCAGAGAGAAAAACGAGCCATTTTTCTCAAAAAGTTTTGCTAAGTAGAGCGAAGTGAGGACACTTTTTTATCTGTGATATTTTGGAACCTCTGACCATCCTCCTGATCATTTTCTTCTCCATACATGTGTGCTACGAAGTAGAAAACCGATCTGAGAAAGAAAAACGTTAAGAGAAAGAAAGACGCAAATCAAAAGTCGCAAATGAAAGAATGCCACCGCTTCACTCGAACTGGCTGAGCTTTCAAAGAAAAATGGCTCGTTTTTCTCTCTGATTTCTTCTCACTGAAAGCGTATTTCTTATCCTCCAGACATGGACTGTCACGAGCGTGTTGTAAAACACGTGAAACTGCTTCCATTGAGACACTAACTTTTGAAGAAGTTTTGATTTCCGTACCCGTCTGGATAAAGTCGTATTATTTTCTCACGATACGGCGCTTATCTCGGTCGGATAGTAATCAGGGTTCTTCCCAGAATCATATCCTGTAGCATCCTTGAGAAACTTGTTCGTTATGAAGCCACCCCGACAAATTCTAGCGTGAGCTGACACTTCAACAACTCCTGCGTCTCTTTTTGCTAGGGTTTTCCTTTTACGGAAGTTCGACAGCGGTTTTGCCTTTGCTATAAGCTAAGGGACTTGAGTGGGTAATAATTTCAAAATTTGATTGGGTAAAAGCAAAATGCAGCAGAGAAACATGTGGTGGAACTATGATTTTGCGTCATAGGCAAGTCGGGTATTTTCGAAAAAATGAGGATAAAAATTTTTTGCTTTCTCAAACTGGATTTCCGTGATAATATTCAGATTCGCATTTGCATGTGTCACAATTTGTCTGTAGAGCCCTTTTCAAAAACATCTCCAAATTCTAGTTTTTGGGAAATTTGTAGGTGGAACTAAGATTATGCGTCGCAGTGTATATCCCCCGGCTCGACGGCTATTTTGTAAATACTGTAGTAACAGCTGGAGGGGTGGGCTGGTATCGAGGCCCATTAGAGGGGGGTTGTAAAAATTCTGAAATTTGTCCAATGAGACGTCGACACTGCACATAATCTCTTCTACCACTTGACAACGAACATCGGACAGCTTACTTCGTCAGCTTATTCCGCTTGATATGAAAGTGGCAAAATTAGGGGTTTTGGGTGGTATAGTGGTCTGAGGCGCAGATTTAGACCAACAGAGAAGGGTTTTATCTTCCCATTTACTTTGAAAGTAAACCCACACCTAGACCTACACCCGACCTAAGACGGAGATACAGTAAGAGTGCTAGTTACAAACATGCAGTCTACAACTGCTAAGTCAGCTATCCAAGCAATTTGCGGGCTGTCAAAGATGGCAGTTTTGCCTTTGCTATAAGCTAAGGGACTTGAGTGGGTAATAATTTCAAAATTTGATTGGGTAAAAGCAAAATGCAGCAGAGAAACATGTGGTGGAACTATGATTTTGCGTCATAGGCAAGTCGGGTATTTTCGAAAAAATGAGGATAAAAAATTTTTTGCTTTCTCAAACTGGATTTCCGTGATAATATTCAGATTCGCATTTGCATGTGTCACAATTTGTCTGTAGAGCCCTTTTCAAAAACATCTCCAAATTCTAGTTTTTGGGAAATTTGTAGGTGGAACTAAGATTATGCGTCGCAGTGTACTTCTCGTCGCACCGCAGCAACAACAGATCGTGGCGTATGGCCATTTGCGGAGAAAAGTAGACCGTCTGAAGCAACCATATGCGCAAGAGCTGCGGTTCGGAATATGGAGAAAGTGGAGTTTCAATGCCTTGACCTGACAACTATGGGGGAATGGTGATGTTGTCAAACTTTTGGAATTTTGACGGTATTTCCCATGGGTGATGTTCTGTCTGCAGGATTGACGATGACAAGGGCTACCCGCTGCTAGCTGCTCGAAACGATTGCAGAAAAGCTTCACGGAATACAGCGACAAGTCAATCTTCACGACAACGCGCTTCGGCGCGGGTCTTCGGTCTCAAACCACAAGATTCTCAAGCTAAGCTGGACCGCGGTTGCCCGTCTGCCATATTCGCCAAACCTATCCATACACGTCTTCCACCTTTCCTGCTTGCTTGCTCATAACTTAACCATAACGAAAAAAAAACTCGGCGAGGAGAAGGACCGCAAATCCGACTACCATATGTTTTTCACAAGAATTCTCCTAACTTTTACAAATGCGCTATCATCCTTGCTAATAGGTTGGCGTATTGTTGCTGAGTCTGATCATCAATTTGTTACGGATCTTAGAATAAATGAAGAACAAAAAAACACATTCAAAATTCTGGCTGTGGGGTGTTTCAGAACTCCCTTCAAATCCTAATACGTGTGGACCTTAAACTAGAAATAGGTTGTCTTAAAAATGATCTTATGTTTTCCAGTCACGTGAAAGCTCAAACAACACTTGCAACATTGAGTAATACATAGAGTAGCAGTCAATAGTTCGGAGACTTGTTTTTTGACCTAGCACCGATGAACAGTGAAATCGCCTCATTTCACACAATATTTACGAAATCCAGTGGAGAATACGATGTACAATCATAGCTCCCCAAAATCAAGATGAATAATTGGAAATACAATTTTTTCGCGTGTCAGAAGCATGGAAACTTTACAATTCCAAAGCGTTTTAACTGCAATGGTTACATGAGAAATTAACAGCTTTTTGAGAAATTGTATAATTCTCAAATGGAATTTGAAGGTGAAAGGACGTAGGATCATCGAGTTTGCAGTCTTGCTTTTTTGTGAAAGATGACTAGAAGCGATTAATCGGTATTTTGCGATATTTGTTACGGGGGAGTCAAACTACCCTTGTAATTAATCTCAACATTCTAAACAAATTCAATTGGGTGAAATTCGACCCAACTATTTCATCTCC